TTGCCGGGATACTTTCTTCTTTTTGTGGGATGTGCGACTTCTGGCTTGTTGGGGCCCTCGCCAGGGGTCCTTTGGGAGCCCATCGGGTGGCGTCTTGGAGGCTCCGAGGGCTGTCTTGAGGCCATGTCTGGGCAACGAGGTGACAGTGGGGATCGTCGAGGAGCTCGTGGGAGGCATGCCGAAGCCTCGCAGGCCGTCCAGGACCATCCCTGAGGCGTCCGGGGCCGCTGGCACAATTCGTCGAACCCCCCCCACCTCCAGGCGGGCCAGACGAGGGCCCCGGGGGAGGGGGTCGGGGGCAGGGAGAACAGTTTCACACGCCGCAGACTCTAAAGGGGTCGGCGCGGAATTTCGGCTGCCCAGTGCGCAGCGTGTGGCGCAACCAAAAGTAAACCGTGTCAGTGGTGGCCGCCGAGTGCGCGCCTTCTCGCGCAGCCAATGCCAGACCGTATCATCATCGGCCTCCGAGGGCGCAGGTGACGGCGCTCTCAAAAACAGGCCGTGCCATTGTCGGCTCCCAGGTGCGAAATGTTCGGAGCAACCAGCTTCAATACGTTGAATCAATCTGCTGAGTGTACAGTGCCTCGAGTAGCGAGCGGTTTAAAGTATCTGCCGCCGTGTTACATCTGATCGCGCAACCAATTACAGTCTCTTTTGCTTATCCTCTGAATGCGCATCCTCTTGTGCCATCAATACCAAGCCATGGATGCAGTGCAGCACAAACCATGGATAGCGCAACCCATGGTGGAGCCCGAAGATGATGCAATACATGAATCGAACAACCTATGGCGCAGCCCATTCATAGCGCAATCCATGGCGTGACCCATGGATGACGCAACCTATGGTGCAACCCATGGGTCGCGAAACCCATGGCGCGCCACATGGGCTGCACACCCTTTGCAGGCTCCTACTGGGCCAAGCCCGATTCATGCTCGCTGTTCTGGGCTGGCGACGGGGCCCAAGCGGCGAACTGTTTTTCGGTTGTTACTACCGGCCCATGCCTCGGGATCTCAGGACAATGGTTTCTCCAGGGATCGTGGCCTTGGAACGAGGCTCCAGAGTATTTTTGCAAGGGGTCGTGGCCCTTTGGGCGCGGATCGCATTTTACAACTCACAATCGCCTTGGGAGCGGAGATGTACTTTCTGCTAGGGACCTTGGATGTGGGAGCGCAGATTCCCGTAATGTTTGCACGGGTCGCCTTCGGGCTCAGGGGATTGGGATCATTTTGAGATCATCGGCATTGAGAGATGGTGTCAGAGCTCAGAGGAAATCGCGTTTATCGAAATGCTGAGGTCTTCAGAATGATGCGATGTTGTAGGCTTCGCCAGTGCATTGATGCGACCTTTTTGTTCAGCTGTCGAGGTCTCACCCGAGACGCTCGGTGGATCCCACACGGGGTCCCGTGGATTATCCTCTTGGCTACACATGTGCGGTCCTCGAGGAGTCATACAATTGGAACTGCGACGGGTGCGCCTGCTACCCTCTTCTGGGGTCGGTGCCAGCGCCTGCGCCCACCACGTGCTCCCCGGCGCCCAGCCCTTTACCCAGCCAAGCAGCCGGGCCGACTGCGGCGCCGACAGCCGCGACGATTGAGGCTCCCGCGACAGCGCCAGCATCGACTCCGACTTCGCCACCGACAGCAGCGCCGACAGCCGAGCCGACAGCCAGCCAGACTGCTGGAACGGAAGATGCCCCGACAGCCGCGCCGACAGACTTCCCGACGCCGAGCCCGACAGTCAGTTCGTTGCCTTTCGTTACGCCCAGCCCGACAACCGCGCCGACAGCAGCGCCGACTGTGGTACCGACCGCTGGGCCGACTGCCGCGCCGACTGCGGCACCGACAGCCTCGCCGACAGCTGCGCCGACTGCGGCACCCACAGCCGGGCCGACCGCTGCGCCGACTGCGTCACCGACTGCGGCACCGACAGCTGCACCCACGGCGTCGCCGACGGACGCGCCGACTGCCGCTCCGACGACGGTGCCGACATCAGCGCCGACTGGTGCGCCAGTAGTTGCGCCGACTGCGGCACCGACAGTCAGTTCTTTGCCCCTGCTGACGCCAAGCCCGACATCCGCGCCGACTGCGGCACCGACAGCTGGGCCGACCGCTGCGCCGACTGCGGCACCCTCAGCCAGGCCGACCGCTGCGCCGACTGCGTCACCGACTGCGGCACCGACCGCTGCGCCCACTGCGGCACCGACGGCTGCGCCCACACCATTGCCAACTGCTTCGCCGTCACCAGCACCAACAGTTACGCCGACAGCTGCGCCGACTGCAACGCCGACAGGCACGCCGACTGCCGCTCCGACGATTGTACCGACAGCAGCGCCGACAGGTGCGCCAGTAGTTGCGCCGACTTCGGCACCGACAGTCAGTTCTTTGCCCCTGCTGACGCCGAGCCCGACATCCGCGCCGACTGCGGCACCGACAGCTGGGCCGACTGCGGAACCGACAGCCATGCCGACTGTGGCGCCGACAGCCGCGCCGACAGCCGCGCCGACTGTGGCACCGACTGCCGCGCCGACAGCGGCACCGACCGCTGCGCCGACTGCGGCACCGACCGCGGCACCGACAGCCGCGCCGACAGCGGCGCCCACAGCAGGGCCGACTTCTGCGCCGACAGCTGTGCCCACTGCGTCACCGACTGCAGCGCCGACAGCCGAGCCGACTTTGCCCCTGCTGACGCCAATTCCGACAGCCTCCCCGACTGCGGCACCGACAGCCGCACCGACTGCCACGCCGTCAGCCGCACCGTCAGCTGCGCCGACTGCGCCACCGACTGCCGAGCCGACAGGTGCGCCGACTGCTGCGCCGACAGCTGCACCGACTCCCGCGCCGACAGCGGCACCGACCGCTGCGCCGACAGCGGCGCCGACCGCTGCGCCGACAGCGGCGCCGACCGCTCCGCCCACAGCAGGGCCGACCGCTGCGCCGACAGCTGCGCCGACTGCGTCACCCGCTGCAGCGCCGACAGCCGAGCAAACATCCGGCCAGACTGCTGGAACGGGAGCTGCCCCGACAGCCGCGTCGACAGATTTCCCGACGCCTGGCCCGACAGTCAGTTCTTTGCCTTTCGTTACGCCCATCCCGACAATCGCGCCGACAGCGACACCGACCGCTGCACCGACAGCCGCGCCGACTGCGGCCCCGACAGCCGCACCGACAGCTGCGCCGACTGCGGCACCGACGGCCGCGCCGACAGCTGCTCCGACTGCTGCGCCGACTGCCTCGCCGACAGCGGCACCGACCGCTGCGCCCACAGCAGGGCCGACCGCTGCGCCGATAGCTGCGCCCACTGCGTCACCTACTGCAGCGCCGTCAGCCGAGCCGACAGCTGGCCATACTGATGCAACGGAAGCTCTTCCGACAGCCGTGTCGACAGATTTCCCGACGCCTGGCCCGACAGTCAGTTCTTTGCCTTTCGTTACGCCCATCCCGACAATCGCGCCGACAACGACGCCGACCGCTGCACCGACAGCCGCGCCGACTGCGGCCCCGACAGCCGCACCGACAGCTGCGCCGACTGCGGCACCGACGGCCGCGCCGACAGCTGCTCCGACTGCTGCGCCGACTGCCTCGCCGACAGCGGCACCGACCGCTGCGCCCACAGCAGGGCCGACCGCTGCGCCGACAGCTGCGCCGACTGCGTCACCGACTGCAGCGCCTTCAGCCGAGCCGACAGCTGGCCATACTGATGCAACGGAAGCTCTTCCGACAGCCGTGTCGACAGATTTCCCGACGCCTGGCCCGACAGTCAGTTCTTTGCCTTTCGTTACGCCCATCCCGACAATCGCGCCGACAGCGACACCGACCGCTGCACCGACAGCCGCGCCGACTGCGGCCCCAACAGCCGCACCGACAGCTGCGCCGACTGCGGCACCGACGGCCGCGCCGACAGCTGCTCCGACTGCAGCGCCGACTGCCTCGCCGACAGCGGCACCGACCGCTGCGCCCACAGCAGGGCCGACCGCTGCGCCGCAAGCTGCGCCGACTGCGGCACCGACAGTGGCACCGACAGCCTCGCCAGCAGCCGTGCCGACAGCTGCACCGACTGCGGCGTCGACAGCCGCACCAACAGCTGCAACAACGGCCGCGCCGACAGCGGCACCGACAGCGGCGCTGACAGTCAGCCCTCTGCCCTTCGTGACGCCCATCCCGACAGCCACGCCGACAGCAGGTCCGACAGCCTCACCGACAGCAGGACCGATTTCGGTACCGACTGCGGCTCCGACAACGCTGCCGACAGCTATGCCGACAGATCTCCACACGCACCACCCGACGGCCAGCCCACTGCCCTTCGTGACGCCTACCCCGACTGAGGCACCGACGGCCGCACCGACAGCCGCGCCGACTGCGGCACCGACAGCCGCGCCGACAGCTGCGCCGACTGCGGCGCCGACGGCCGCGCCGACTGCTGCTCCGACTGCTGCGCCGACTGCGGCGCCGACAGCGGCACCGACAACCGAGCCGACAGCGGCGCCCACAGCAGAGCCGACCGCTGCGCCGACAGCTGCACCGACTGCGGCACCGACCGCGGCACCGACAGCCGCGCCGACAGCGGCGCCCACAGCAGGGCCGACCGCTGCGCCGACAGTTGCGCCCACTGCGTCACCGACTGCAGCGCCGTCAGCCGAGCCGACAGCTGGCCATACTGATGCAACGGAAGCTCTTCCGACAGCCGCGTCCACAGATTTCCCGACGCCTGTCCCGACAGTCAGTTCTTTGCCTTTCGTTACGCCCGGCCCGACGCCCACCTCAACGTCCAGCGAGGGGAACCCTGCCGAGTCTGGCGACGTGGCCACTGCCTCGCCCGGCGCGACGCCCACCCCAACGTCCAGCCAGGGGAACCCTGCCGAGTCTGGCGACGGGGCCACTGCGTCGCCCGGCGCGACGCCCACCCCAACGTCCAGCCAGGGGAACCCTGCCGAGTCTGGCGACGGGGCCACTGCGTCGCAGGGCGCGACGCCCACCCCAACGTCCAGCCAGGGGAACCCTGCCGAGTCTGGCGACGTGGCCACTGCCTCGCCCGGCGCGACGCCCACCCCAACGTCCAGCCAGGGGAACCCTGCCGAGTCTGGCGACGGGGCCACTGCCTCGCCCGGCGCGACGCCACCCCAACGTCCCAGGGAACCCTGCCGAGTCTGGCGACGTGGCCACTGCCTCGCCCGGCGCGACGCCCACCCCAACGTCCAGCCAGGGGAACCCTGCCGAGTCTGGCGACGGGGCCACTGCGTCGCGTGCCAAACCCAAACGCCCCCGCCCAGTCTTGTCCGAGCCCACTGGGGCGCGACGCCCACCCTGCCAGAACCCTGCCGAGTCTGGCGACGGGGCCACTGCGTCGCCCGGCGCGACGCCCACCCCAACGTCCAGCCAGGGGAACCCTGCCGAGTCTGGCGACGGGGCCACTGCGTCGCCCGGCGCGACGCCCACCCCAACGTCCAGCCAGGGGAACCCTGCCGAGTCTGGCGACGTGGCCACTGCCTCGCCCGGCGCGACGCCCACCCCAACGTCCAGCCAGGGGAACCCTGCCGAGTCTGGCGACGGGGCCACTGCGTCGCCCGGCGCGACGCCCACCCCAACGTCCAGCCAGGGGAACCCTGCCGAGTCTGGCGACGTGGCCACTGCCTCGCCCGGCGCGACGCCCACCCCAACGTCCAGCCAGGGGAACCCTGCCGAGTCTGGCGACGGGGCCACTGCGTCGCCCGGCGCGACGCCCACCCCAACGTCCAGCCAGGGGAACCCTGCCGAGTCTGGCGACGGGGCCACTGCGTCGCCCGGCGCGACGCCCACCCCAACGTCCAGCCAGGGGAACCCTGCCGAGTCTGGCGACGTGGCCACTGCCTCGCCCGGCGCGACGCCCACCCCAACGTCCAGCCAGGGGAACCCTGCCGAGTCTGGCGACGGGGCCACTGCCTCGCCCGGCGCGACGCCCACCCCAACGTCCAGCCAGGGGAACCCTGCCGAGTCTGGCGACGTGGCCACTGCGACTTCTGCCGAGTCTGTCGACGTGGCCGCTGCGCAGCCGGGCCCGACGCCCAGCCCGACTGCCAGCCAGGAGTTCTCTGCCGAGTCGGTGGACATGTCGAGTGTGCACGCCGTCGGCGACCCGCATCTGGTCAACGTGTATGGGCAGCACTTCGACATCTTCCACCAGGGCGTCCACGTGCTCCTCCAGGTCCCGCGGGGCGCGGCGCCCGCGGCCGCGAGGCTCTATGTGGCGGCGCGCGCCCAGCAGCTGGGAGCCGTGTGCGACGAGATGTACTTCACCTCCCTGAACGTGACGGGCAGGTGGGTCGAGGACAGGCTGCGCTCGAAGGTCGGGCCAAACGAGAGGGGGGGACAGAGGAGGAGGAGGAGGAGGAGGAGGAGGAGGAGGAGGAGGAGGAGGAGGAGGAGGAGGAGGGGGAGGGGGAGGAGGAGGAGGAGGAGAAGAGGAGGAGGGAGGGGGCGGAGGAGATGAACAGAGAGGAGGAGGAGGAGGAGGAGGAGGAGGAGAGGAGGAGGAGGAGGAGGAGGAGGAGGAGGAGGGAGGAGGAGGATGAAGGAGGGAGGAGAGGAGGAGGAGGAGGAGGAGGAGGCGGAGGAGGAGGAGGAGGAGGAGGAGGAGGAGCAGGAGGATCGGGCCGAACGAAAGGGGGGGACAGGGAAAGAGGGGGGTACGAAGTCTGCTGCGTGCAGCTGGTTTCGGCCCCGCCGCCGGGCCCATTCCTCCATACATGGCCGCCTCCGGCGCCGGGAGGCGCGGGGAACGTGAGCTGCGTGAGCTGATTCTCATCCCCCCCCTTTGCTATTCCCCCCACCTTCGCCCGGCCCGAGAAGGCATTCAATTTGACGGACGACTTTCCCGAGGCAGCAATGAGAGCCCGCGGCAGACCCACGGGAGGCCTCCACTTCTTGGCGGGACAGGCGGGCAATCGGCGCCACACGCCGTGGATGTACTTCGGCGGGGTGGGCCTCAGGGTCACCTGGGGCCACACAGCCCACGGCGTCAAGTACCTCAACGTTCTCATGAAGCACGTGAGCCAGGCCGGCGCTCCAGTCGGAGGCCTCCTCGGTGGGGACGACCACACCGAGGCGGCAACCCGGAGCTCGGCGTGCAGCAAGTCGCTGGCCCTCAGAGCCGAGGAGCAGGATGAGCCTCAGGGAGCGGAGCCCGGCTCGCACACGGATTGGGCCCACATGGCGGTTGCGACCTGGTGATGAGCGCGGGGCAGGGGCGGGAACGATCGCGCTTGTGCTCCGCGATCTGCTCTGCTGCGCGCCGCGCGCCGCGGTCGGCGAGGGAGAACCGCTGGCCCCGAGCGCACCCCCATGCCCTGGCGATTGGCAGTCTCTCTTCGGGGGAGGCGCCCGACAGTGTGATGGAAGGGGACTAACCCCTCATCTGGTCATCGGACCGGGACAGTGCCATTCTCGGGGGCATGGGTGTGCGCGAAGCCGCAGGGGAAGGCGAAGGGCCATCAAGCCGGGTGGTCAGTGCTGCTCGTTTGCAGTGTACGCGGTCTGCCAGCCTCGGCTGACCAGGGCCCGGCTTGGCCAGTGGGGCCGTCCTGGGCGGATCCGGCCCGGGATCCGATTCTCGAGGGCCGGGCGGAGAAGAGAAGGGGAGAGAAAGACAGAGAGAAAGAGAGAGGGCGAGGCGGACAACCTTTTGATGGCCTTGCGTTCTCCTTCGCCCGCCCGCTGGCGCTCCAGGGCTTACGACATCTGTGGACGGCTCAAGAGTCAGTAGCTACCTAAGGGGCTGCGCCATCTGCCGCGTTTCTCCCCTCAGGCGGAGCCGCCGTGACAATGCCTTGCGGCCGCCTCGATGCTTCCGTGGGTTCTGTTTTCGACCATCTAGGGGATCCTCAGGGGGCCACCTTCAGGGCCATCTTGTGAAGCAGTAGTGGCCCCAGTGTGCCACAGTAGCCCTCGCAGACACGCGCAGGAGTGAGCCGCCCCCCCCTGCACGCATTGTGGAAGACTGCGCGGGGAAGCGGTGCCGAGCTGATGATCAGAGCGTGAATTACCTAGCCCGCTTTCGCTTCCAGGAAAAACCAAGTCATACCACGCGCCTCCTCGTCAAGCGACCTGACCAGTACAGGCCGTAGTTTGGCATCGCTTGGTATCTCTTGGAAGCGAGGGTGGTCAAAAGCGAGGTAGGTTTGTTTTCCCCCTAGATGAGTGGCGCCAAGGGCCCAATCGGGCCGAGAGAGGGTAAGCGTGTTTCTCGGACGCCGCCGGTGCGGGCGGAAGGTGTGGACCGGGGCGACCACGGGCAGGGCGCAGGGGCGGCAAGGGACACCAGCAGGGCGGCGGGGAGACTCGCATCGTGGCGCTCCAATGGTCAGGAGGGGAAAAAACACACAGACACAATTAATCGTCGATTCCCTAGAAAATATAGGAAAATATGGGAAGTGGTGGGAAAACAAAAACCCAGGAAATATGGGAAAATATTGGGAATAGTTTTATTTGTGTGTATTTATTTGTGTGTCCTAGGGCCCCTTCAAATGGGGGGGCGGGCGGTCACCAGCTGAGTGTCGGGAGTTGTTCGCGAGTCATACCTAGCTATTCGCGCGCACGAGCAGCAGCCCGAGGGGCGAGAGCTCTCAGCAAACACTCGCTGCACATGTGCAGCCCTTGGCGCATGTGCCACTGTCTCTGCCCGTGGCACCACGACTGGCGCTTCCTTGCTATACGTCCCGCGGCAGTCGGGTCGGGAGGACCAGATTTTGCGGAGGCGTCGCGTGGAAAACATGTATGGTCCCTCTTCTCGATCTTGAGGTAGCGTTGCGCCAGTTGCGCAGGAAAGGTGGCCCAGAGTGAATCAGATGAACACCGAATCGGGAACATCACGCCCTCAGATTCTGTCAGGGCTTGCAGGGGTTGTGGAGAGGAGCACGGCCGCGTTGTGGTCGTCGGCCGGTGGCATCAATCGATACGATGTTTGCGCAATCGCCACAGTAGCCCAGCGACGAGTGCTTGCATGCAGGCGTATCTTACGGGGCTCTCCATAATTCCCTCGCCTTCGAGGGGTCGAGTTTGGCTTCTCTTTCTCGGCGGAAGGCCGGTGGAACGCGGCGGAAGCAAAGCGGGGACGGCTGCGCCAGCGGAAGCCGCCAGAATCACAAAATGTCCCCCAAGTGATTGTAGTTAGTCTGGTCCAGGGTCGCCAGAGCGGGGCAAATGTCATTGTGTGTTCAAAACGCGATATCGGGAGGGTGCGCGAAATCGATGCCATGTGTATTGATAGATTTGCACATCGTGCGTGTTGAGCCGCGATCCCCCGACCTCTCGTGGAGCGCGTCCCGACCAGTTGCTTGAGCTGCATCTGGCCTTGGCGACATGGGTTCCCAGGAGGCCCACACTTTTCCGAATGTGGGAAACACTACATCCTCTTTCCGTATCTCCCTCTTCCTCGAGAACGGGGGATTGTGGAGCCCCTCGGGGTCGAAGGCGCCAAAGCGAGGCTTTCACACTGAGTTCGCGCGTCTATTTCAATGAGATATGCGTGCTCTGTGGCGGCCTCCTCTCTCCTCCTCCTCCTCCTCCTCCTCCTCCTCCTCCTCCTCCTCCAAAAGGAACAATACCATTTTCGTTGTTTGGCCCCCTCCCCCCCCCCCCCCCCCAGGAAAAAAAAAAAAAAAAAAAACTGGGCGGATCCGCCTTTTTTTTTTTCTTTTTCTTTTTTTCGGGGGGGGGGGGGAATGAAAATCCTCTCCTCCCTCCTCCTCCTCCTCCTCATCCTTCTCCTCGTCCTCCTCCTCCTCTCCTCCTCCTCCTCCTCTCCTCCTCCGCCTCCTCCTCTCCTCCTCCTCCTCCTCTCCCCCTCCTCCTGCCTCTCTGCCTTTTTGTGTCTCCTGGTGTCCCCCCCCCCCCCCCCCGAGAAAAAAAAAAAAAATGCTGGCATGCCCCCCCCCCCCCCAGATTTTTTGTTTTTCCTTGGGGGGGACGCCAGGAGGAAAAAAAGAAATGCGACGTGGCCACGCCTGCCCTCCCCCCTAGAAGGATTCCTATTAAGCGCCCTCATAAGAAGGATTCACACTGAAATCCTCGACAGAAGGGTTCCTATCGAACCCCCCCGCTGAATGATTCCTATTGAAATCCTCCACATGTGGATTCCTACTGAAACCCTCCACTGAATGATTCCTACTGAGATCCTCGAATGGCAATGGCAATGGCAATGACAATGGCAATGGTAGTGGTAATGGTAATGACATTGGTAATGGCAATGGTACTGGTAATGGTTACGGTAATGATAGTGGTAACGGGGTAGCGAGGCAATGACAATGGCAATGGTAATGGCAATGGCAATGGCAGTGGTAATGGTAATGGTAATGGTAATGGGAATGGGAGTGGGAATGGGAACGGGAACGGGAATGGAAATGATTGTGGTAGTTGTAGTGGTAATGGTAATGGCACTGGTAATGGTAATGGAAATGGTAATGGTATTGGAAGTCTAATGGTAATGGCAGCGGTAATGGTAATGGGAATGGGAATGGGAATGGGAATGGGAATGGAATGGTGGTACTGGCAATGGTAATGGTAGTGGCGAATGGCAATGGCAATGGCAATGGCAATGGCAATGGTAATGGTAATGGTAATGGTAATGGTAATGGTAATGGTAATGGTAATGGTAATGGAAATTATAATGACAGAGGTAATGGTAATGGTACTGGTAATGGTAATGGTAACGGTAATGGTAATGGTAACGGGGTAGCGATTGGCAATGGCAATGACAATGACAATGGCAATGGTAATGGCAATGGCAACGGTATTGGCAATGGCAATGGCAATGACAATGATAATGGCCATGGCAGTGGCAACGGCAATGGTAAGTGTAATGGTAATGGCAATGGTAGTGGGAACGGGAACGGGAATGTGAATGGGAATGGGAACGAGAACGGGAATGGAAATGGTAGTGGTAGTGGTAACGGAAATGGGAATGATAAGGGTAAGGGTAAGGGTAAAGGTAAAGGTAGAGGTAAAGGTAATGGTAATGGTAATGGAAATGATAATGGTAATGGTAATGGTAATGGTCATGGGAATGGGACTGGCAATGGAAATGGTACTGGCAATGGCAATGGTAGTGGCCAATGGCAATGGCAATGGCAATGCGAATGACAGAGGTAATGGTAATGGTACTGGTGATGGTAACGGTAATGATAGTGGTAACGGGGTAGCGACTGGCAATGGCAATGACAATGACAATGGCAACGGTAATGGTAATGGCAATGGCAATGGCAATGGCAATATCAATGGGAATGGCAATGGCAATGGTAATGGCCATGGCAATGGCAATGGCAATGGTAATGGTAATGGTAATGTGAATGGGAACAGGAACGGGAATGTGAATGGGAATGGATATGGGAACGGGAATGGAAATGGCAGTGGCAGTGGTAACGGAAATGGGAATGGTAAGGGTAAGGGTAAAGGTAAAGGTAGAGGTAAAGGTAATGATAATGGCAATGGTAATGGCAATGGCTGTTGTAATGGTAATGGTAATGGTAATGGTAATTGTAATGGTAATGGCATTGGGCATGGGAATGTGAATCGGAATGGTAATGGTACTGGCAATGTTAACGGTAGTGGCGACTGGCAATGGCAATGGCAATGATAATGGTAATGGTAGTGGCGAATGGCAGTGGTAATGGTAGTGGCGAGTGGCAATGGCAATGACAATGGTAATGGTAATGGCAATGACAGTGGTAATGGTAATGGTACTGGGAATGGTAATGGTGACGGTAACGGTAATGGTAATGGTTATGGCAATGGTAACGGGGTAGCGATTGGCAATGGCAATGGCAACGGCGATGGCAATGGTAATGGTAATGGCAATGGCAACGGCAATGGGAATGGCAGCGGCAATGGCAATGGCAATAGCAATGGCCATGGAAATGGTAATGGTAATGGTCATGGTCATGGTCATGGTAATGGTAATGGTAATGGGGATGGGGATGGGAATGGGAATGGGAATGGGAATCGTAGTGGAAATTGGAACGGGAACGGGAATGGAAATGGTAGTGGTAGTGGTAATGATAATGGCAATGGTAATGGTAATGGTAATGGTACTGGTAACGGTAATGGCAATGGCAATGGTGATGGGAATGGGAATTGTAATGGTGATGGCAGCGGTAATGGTAATGATAATGGTAATGGTAATGGTAATGGCAATGGTGCTGGTAATGCTAATGGTAATGGCAATGGTAATGGTAGTGGCTAATGGTAATGGGAATGGTAGTGGTAATGGTAATGGTAATGGTAACGGTAATGGTAATGGTAACGGGGTGGCGACTGGCAATGGCAATACAATGGCAATGGCAACGGCACTCGTAATGGCAATGGCAATGGCAATGGCAATGGGAATGGCAATGGCAATGACAATGGCAATTGTAATGGCCATGGTAATGGTAATGGTAATGACAAGGGTAAAGGTAAAGATAAAGGTAAAGGTAATGGTAATGGTAATGTGAATGGGAATGGGAATGGGGATGGGAATGGTAATGGTAATGGTATTGGGAATGTGAATGGGAATGGAATGGGAATGGGAGTGGGAGAGATTGAGAGAGAGAGAGAGAGAGAGAATGCGAGAGAGGGAAATATCAGAATAATGATGAGGAGCAACTTGAAATATCGTAGATAATCGTTTGAAACCCACAGGGGCTCCACAATCCCCCGGCCTCTCTTCCTCCGCCCCGCTTCGCCATTGATCCCAGTGCCAGGAAATTTCTCTATTGTTGTGCACGCTGCTGCTGCGCAGTTTCTTTGCGGGGGGCTGTCGCGCAATACGTTGCTGCTTCAAGCAGGGAAACAGCGATGTATGCTAGAGAGGTTTATTCAGGAAGGGAGGATAAGTAGGGCCGATGGCTGGGTAGGAAGGAGAAGCAGTGGGTTTAGAAGGAGGGGCATGGGGGTTGCACGTGGGGAGACTCGTGACGGACAAGATATCTTGGGTGATGGTAGACTTTGTTCGGGGCGACGTTTGGACACGACTCTGGCAAGACTTTGGGTGGGATCTGGGATCGATGTGGACGGGAGGTTGGGCGGAGTCGCGGGAGTGGGAAAGGGAGGGCGATGCCGCGGTGGGGAACGAGGCGAATGGGGCGGGGGGGGGATGGAGGCCGAGGGCCTGAGGCTGGTCGGAGCAGCTGTTGACCACTTCTGGCTCCAGGAGGGGGCTCTGGTTTCAGGGGCGCCTCGTTCGATTTCGGTCGGGAACCCTGCTCGTGGCCGAGGCTCGCCGCGGCCAGGAAAAAAGCCCCACGCGCTCCTCCTCCTTCCGCGCTGCTCCTGGTAGCACGCGATGCACGGTTTGGGGTTATTTTTTTCCCAACCATCCTGTGGTGCTGGGTCCTCGTTTTGAAGAGGCGGTCCCCGCGTTCTCTCCTTCTCTCCTCCTCTTCCCCCTGCTCCTCCACCGTCCGCATGCGTCCCGCACACCCAGTACAGCGTTTCGTGGCCCTCCTCCCCCCCCCCCCTCCCTGCGTTTCACCCACCCAGTACAGCGCTTCGTGGCCCCATAGGGAGCCCCACCGAAGGTCCCAGTGCTACCGTCCGCATGCGTCCCGCACACCCACCCAGTACAGCGCTTCGTGGCCCCATAGGGAGCTCCACCGAAGGTCCCAGTGCTACCGTCCGCATGCGTCCCGCACACCCAGAACAGCGCTTCGTGGCCCTCCTCCCGCGCCTCCCTGCGTTTCAGCCACCCAGTACAGCGTTTCGTGGCACCATAGGGAGCTCCACCGAAGGCCCCAGTGCCCCCGTCCGCATGCGTCCCGGATGCCCAGCTTGGCATTTTCACCCACCTGGTGCAGCGTTTCGTGGCCCCATAGGGGACTCCACCCAAGGCCCCAGTGCCACCGTCCGCATACGTCCTAGTAACCCAATTTGGCATTTTCACTCACTCAGTAGAGCGCTTCGTGGCCCCATAGGGGGCTCCACCGAAGCCCCCAGTGCTACCGTCCGCATGCGTCCCGGTAACCCAATTTGGCATTTTCACTCACTCAGTAGAGCGCTTCGTGGCCCCATAGGGAGCTCCACCGAAGCCCTCAGTGGGACCGTCCGCATGCGTCCCGGAAACCCAATTCGGCACACCACCCACACAGTACAGCGTTCCCCCCCGCCCAGTGCAGCGCTTCGTGGCCCCATAGGGAGCTTCACCGAAGCAGATATTCACAATTACGGTACCCACATCTGCATATGGTTGGGACCTTCGCCAGGATAATTGTTTGGGGGTTGAGGGTGAGGAACGGTGGATGGAGGACAGATGCGGCGCAGAGTGCAAGGGATGGCAAACATGAGGCGATCCCAGACCGAACACGTAAGCTAACGAACGAGAACGGCCGGCACGGCCCGCAGCTTTTTTTTGGAGGTGGCGCATAACCTTCTGCAGGGGGCAGCGAAAGTTGGAATGCGGCCATCCCTTTGCTATCCGTTCCTCTCACCCGTCGCTCTATCCCGCCACATGTCCGGCCACCTCTCCTTCTACCTCCTCTTTTCTTTCCCGCGCTTCTCCCTCTCCTGCCCCTCGCCTTCAATCCCCCCGGGTCCCCTCCCTCCTCCCCGCCCTCTTGCGGCCTCTCTCCGTCCCTCTCTGTTGCAGGAGCCGTACTGCAGGTTCCACCGACCCTTGGAAGTGAACATCCTGGGCCGCAGAGAATGAGAGAGAGGGAGGGACAGAGCGAGAGAGAGAGATGGAGAGAGATATTACACATACGCATGTAAACAGAGAGAGAGAGAGAGAGTGAGAAGAAAACAAGGGAACGAGAGGGCGGAGTCTCGCCTACACCCCTTGAGGACTCGGCCGAGCCGCTCGTGGTGACGTCCGAGCGGTCCGATGACGGCGGCTACGTGAAGCGCCTGTCAGGTGGGTGAGCGGCAGAGCCTTCCGCGGCAGAGGCAGGGCCAGTTCAGGGTGCGTTCGGACCTCTCCTGAGGGGTCCAGGGACCGATTCTGAGCTGCCGCTGCCTCGCTCCGCCCCGCTCCGAGCCCGGGGGCCCCCCCGCACACGGCGGCTTTTTGCCAGCCAGGACCTCGAGCCTGCCGGCGGGAGCTGACGAAGGGGTGGGTGGCTGCTCTCGACTCGACGTGAGAGTGACCTGTCGCCGGAGTGACCTTTCGGTGCGGGCCGAATGGGGCCCCCCGACCGCCGAGCGCGATGCGGTGATAGCGTCTTGCGCGCTCGTGGTTGGTCCACCCGCGGCGCCCAGAAAGCCGCGCGCTGAAGGTCACCCTTGCCCGGGGTCCCTCTTGCGTGTAGCCGATTCTCGGCCCGCGGCCGCAGCGCTCTTTCGGGCGCCCTTGGCGCCCTGGCCCATCTCTGCCCGCCGACGAGGCAACACTGCAGAACTGCGTAAAGCGTCTTTCAGGAGCTCGCGCGGGGGCTCCTCCGGTCGGCCCTGGGGCCCCCCCTCGGCGCCATGCTCTCGCCCAGCGCCGGCCCCTAAGGGGGCCACCTGCATACAGAGGGATTTTCGACGAAAAATAAAAGATATTTTAGAACTGCCCCAAAATTGTCAAAACATATTCAAAAAATAGTCCCCAGACTATTTTTGGAGTACTTTTTGGACTATTTTTAATGTATTTTTTATTGTTCGTCGAAAATCCCCCTGTGGGGGGACAGGCCCGACTTAACCCTACCCCCACCCTCCTCAGAAGTCGTGGGAGGGTAGGGGTGGGGTTCGCAGGTGGCCCCCCCTAGACCCTGGAAGCCTCCAGAAGCCGATGCGCCTGCAGTTCCTGTGCTTCGTCGTGCGCGCCCGCCGGCGGGTTCCGCCCGGCGTCGGGGAGCACGGGAAGAAGAAACGGAGGCGCCCGCTGGGTGTCACGAAGGCGGTCGCGCCTCTCGCGCGTCACGGCATGGACTGGAGGAGGAGGAGGAGGAGGAGGAGGAGGAGGAGGAGGAGGAGGAGGAGGAGGAGGAGGAGGACGAGACGAGGACGAGACGAGGACGAGGACGACGAGGACGAGGACACGAGGACGAGGACGAGGACGAGAGGAGGAGGAGGAGGAGGAGGGAGGGGGGGAGGAGGAGGAGGAGGAGGAAGAGGAGGAGGAGGAGGAGTGAGGAGTGGAGGAGGAGGAGGAAGGGGGAGGAGGAGGAGGAAGAGGAGGAGGAGGATGAGGAGAGGGAGGAAGGGGAGGAGGAGGAGGAGGAGGAGGACCGCCGTTCTTTCCCTTGGGTGGCGGGGCGCCGGCGCGGAGACCGCCTGGGGACCGCGGGGATCAGGCCGCAGAGTGGGGCGACCTGCAGGCCCAGACGTCCGCGGCCCCTGGGAGTCCCGACCCTTTCGGCCTCTCGTCCTGAGCGGCTTCTGACGGTCCCCGGGCCTAGCGAGGGCCCCCCGTTGGCAAAAATGGCGCACCGTTCCGTTTTGAATCGTGTCGATACGCTGGATATTGGCAGATCCATGAGCGGTTACAGCGTAGTTTGGGTGAGTCCCCTCCTCCTCATCATCACCACCATCACCATCATCGTCATCATCAGCATCATCGTCATCATCACAATCTCCATCATCGTCATCATCACCAGCATCACCACCATCCCAATAATAACCATCACCATCATCATCATCATTATCACCATCATCATCATCATCATCATCATCATCATCATCATCATCATCATCATCATCATCATCATCATCATCATCATCATCATCATAATTATCATGATCATCATGTTCATGATCATCATCATCATTATCATCATTCTCATCGTCGTCATCATCATCAACATCACCATCCCCAGTAACATCATCACCATCACCATCGCCATAATCGTCATCATCACTCTCATCATAATCATCATCACCGTCATCATGATAATCGGCATCATTATCATCCTTATCCTGACCATCATCATCATCACCATCATCACCCGCATCGTCTTCATCATCATGAGCACTCTCACCCTCATTATCACCATCATCATCGTCATTATCAGCATTAGCATTCTCACCATCACCATCACCATACCCATGACCATCATCATCACCATCACAATCACCACAATCATCAGCATCATCATCATCATCATCCTCCTCAGCATCATCATGATCATCATCATCATCATCACCATCAGCATCAGCATCAACATTGCTATTGTCGCCATCGTTATCATCAACAATACCATCCGCAGCAACATCATCATCATCATCATCATCATCATCATCATCATCATCATCATCATCACTGTCACCATATTCGTCGTCGTCACCGCCACTATCACCATTATGTACAATCATCATCATTATCGTCATCATCATCGGCATCATTACCATCATCATCTGTACCATCACCATCGTCATCACAATCGCCATCTTCATCATCATTCTGATCATCAGTATGATCATCATAATCATCATCACCATCGCCATCATCATCACCATCATCACTATCTCCGTCACCATCACCATCACAATCATTATCGCCATCATCATCCTCATCTGATTCATCATCATTGCCATCACCATCACTGTCACCATCGTCGTCATCTTTATCGGCATCACCACCATCACCATCATCACCATCATCATCATCATCACCATCACCGACACCGCCACCATCACCATCACAATCATCATCATCATCATCCTCATCATCCGCATCATCATCATCATGATCATGATCATCATCACCATCGCCATCACCATCGTCATCATCAGCATGATCATCATCACCGTCACCGCCACCATCGCCATCACAATCATCATCCTGAATATGATCATGATCATCATCATGATCGTCATCATTATCATCACCATGACCATCATTATCATCATCACCAGCATCACGAACATCATCATCAGCATCATCAGGATCACCATCATCCGCGCCCTCACCATCACAATCACAGTCACCATCACCACCATCATCATCATCACCATCCCCATCACCATCATCATCATCATCATTAACATCGTCGCCATCACCATCATCATCATCATCATCATCTTCATCATCATCACTATCATCATCTCCATCATCATCACCATGAGCATCATCATCACCACAATCGCCATCATCAGCATCATCATGATCATCACCATCACCGTCACGGTCACAAGATCCATCACAATCATCAGCATCATCATCAACATGATCATTATTATTATGATCGTCCTCGTGGTCATCATCAGTATCATCATCCTCATCAGCATCATCACCATCACCATCGTCGTCATCATCACACTCATCACCATCATGGTCGTCATCGACATCATCATCCTCATCTCGACCATCACCATCATCATCATCATCCTTATCTTCATCATCATCACCACCATCACCAGCATCGTCGTCATTATCAGCATCATCATCACCATCATCATCCTCATCCTCATCTTCAGCATCATCACCAACCTCATCACCATCACCATCATCATCAGCATCAGCATCGCCATCACCATCACCATCATTAGCATGATCGTGATCATGATCACCATCGTCATCATCATCACCATCGTCATCATCATCACCATCATCATCATGATCATCAGTATGATCATCACCATCACCATGACCATCAATATGAGCACCATCTTCATCATCATGATCATGATATCATCGTTACCATTTTCAACAGCATCGTCATCACCATCACCATCACCATTGTGAGACTGGCGAAGACGGCAGGGCAGGGCCCTGGGAAAGCTGCCATATCCTGCTACGCTTCGCCCCGTTTCCCACTCTGTGGGCCTCCTGGGAGGCCCTCGTCGCCGCCGCTGGACTCGCCTCGAACTTTTCTGGTCAGGACGCCCCCCAGCAGAGGTCTGGGAACAGTCGGTGTCGGCACCCGTTCCTGCCTCCCCCAGTTTCTCGCCGCGGCGCGGGGCGGCGGCAGGGCAGAAGTCGAGGGAAGGCGTGCGATTGTCTTGGCCAGCACGTCGCGGGGTCTTCTCGGCGCCGGTCGTGGTCGTGGGCTGGGGTCTCGTCAGGCAGCTCCGGCCCAGTGGGCATTTTTGTTGGGGGGTGGGGGTGGGGGGGCCGTCGGAGCGCCCGGCGGTGCAGCCATACACGGCTGCTGCTCCTGCTGCTGCTAGAGGGGAGTCGGGAGGGGAACAAAACACACAGACACAATTAATCGTCGATTCCCCAGAAAATATGGGAAACTATGGGAAGTGGGGGGAAGACAAAAACCCAGGAAAGATGGGAAAATATGGGGGATATTTTGATTCGTGTGTATTTATTTGCGTGTCCTTGGGCCCCTTCAGGGATGGATGCGTCGTGGGCGCGCAGGGGCGCGCGGGGGCCAGGGCACGCGCGTGCCGTGAACACCTGCTGCGGCTTCGTCACCTTCCGGTCCAAGCGGGACGCCATGATCGCCCTCAACATGAGGCTCGCAGCGGGGCCCGCCTCGCACTCGTCGCCGAGGGGAAGGGGGGGGGGAAGGGGAGACGGAGGCGACGACGTCCTGGGCCCTGTTTGGCCCGTTCGGAGGGGGGGGGCTTCGAGGCCCCCCTGCCACCGACTTCTCCATCCCTCGCCGTGCCTCTCGATGCCTGGTCTTTCCCCTTCCCCCTCCCTTGTCCTCGCTCCTGCTTCCTCTCCCTCCCCTTCCCCCTCCCTCTACTCCCTCCCCTCGCCTTTCCTCTCGCTCCCTTCGCCTTTCTCCTTCCTTCCCTCCCTCCTCGCTCCTGCTTCCTCTCCCTCCCCTCGCCTTTCCCCTTCCCCCTCCCTTATCCTGGAGTCGGAGGGTGGGGTGGGGTCGGTCAGCGTCTCAGTTGTGCTGAGTTGCTCTCTGGCTGCAGCTCCAGATCCCAGGGCTGGACCTAAACGCCGTTTTGCTGGACTTCGGCTGTGTTTGTTTTTCGTTTTGGGAGGGAGGGAAGTACAGGAAACCAGGTGAAGCAAACCAAAAAAACGAAACAATAATGATACAGGAGAAAACCCCAATCATAATCTTTTTAAGGCTTTAGGGCTATGGGGCTATAAAGCCATAGGGCCAGAAGGCTATGGGGCTATCGGGCTACAGGGCCATAGGGCTATAGGGATATTGGGCTATAGGGCTATGGGGCTGTAGGGCTGTAGGGCTGTAGGGCTATAGGGCTATAAGGCTACAAGGCTATAGGGCTATTAGGGCTATAGGGCCACAGGGCTATAGGGCTATAGGGCTATATATAGAGCTACCAGGCACCTGGGCACCCGGGCACCTGGCCCCCCAGGCAACTGGGCACACGGGCACCCGGGCACACGGGCACCTGGGCACCCGGGCACCCGGGCACCCGGGCACACCCGGGCACCCCCGGGCACCCCCGGGCACCCCCGGGCACCCCCGGGCACCCGGCCGCCGGCCACCAAGTCGGCGCCGCACCTCACTTAACCATATGAATCCGCTAGGACCCCTACAGAGGCAAGCTCTGATTGGGGAACAATCCGAACAACAACGTTTAGGTCCAGCCCTGCCAGATCCTGCTCTCCCTCCCAGCCCTCCGTTCGTCCCAGCCCTCCGGTCGTCCCCCTTCCCCTCCTCGTGCGCCTCGTCGTCCCACCCTCCCCTGCTGACGCCCAGCCCCACCTGCTCCGTCACGGTCAGTTCCAGCCCTTGGGAGCAGCCCCCCCCCCCGCTGGGAGCATGGACAAACGTGGCAGCCTCGCGGCTGAAGGCCTTGAACAGGTTTACACGGTCACGATGGGGGCCACGATGGGGGGGTCACACTGGGGGGCCACGATGGGGGTCCGCGAGAGGGCGGGCCGCGAGGGCGCGACCTGGGTAAGGTGAAGGGGGTAGGGTTAGGGTTAGGGGACCCGGATGCAAGGCTGGGGCCGGGATGCAGGTATATACCTATACGACCACCCTGCGGATGGTAAGGAGGTTGGGGGGGGGAGGGGGGCCAGCAATGGGCAACAGTGGTGATTGTTGCGTTGCCGCTCGCTCTTGGGACCATCGATCCCACTATCGATCTCACTCGATCGATCTCACTCGATCGATCTCACTCGATCGATTTCACTGTCGATCTCACTCTGGATCTCGCTATCGATCCCATTATCGATCTCCCTATCGATATCACTCGATCTCACAATCGATATCACTATTCATCTCACTATCGATCTCACTATCGGTCTCACGATCGATCTGAGAATCGGTATCACTATCGACTCACGATCGATCTCACAATCGATTTCGTCATCGGGCTTACTATCGTTTTCGCACCAGAGGGACACCGGCGGGACACCGGCGGGACACCAGCGGGACACCGCGGGCCACCGCTTGCCGGAGGGAGAATCATTTGGTCCGACCGGGACCTAGCCACAAGCGGGACACCAGCGGGACACCAGCGGGACACCGCGGGCCACCTCTTGCCGGAGGGAGAATCATTTGGTCCGGCCGCGCCTCAGCCACAAGAGACTTTCCTCGCGCCCGCCCACGCAGCTTCGCCTCGCCCGCACGCGCGGCACGCACGAACACGAAACCGAATCTGATTTCCCGATGGGGGGCTCTCTGTTCCACTTCGATCTCACCCCCCAACCTCCGATGGATGGGGATCGGGATGGGCATAGGGATAAATAAGGGCAGGGATTGGGATATGGATGCAGAACAGAGATCGGGATGAAAGGGGTAGGGATAGGGCTAGGGATCAAGCTAGCCAGCTCGAGCGAGTCAAGCATGGCATGCTCATTCCCACCCGCCCTCCCACAACATAAGAAACAGTGATGGCACAACTGGGGGCTGCGCGGGCATTTCAGTGCGAGTGGAGGATACCCCAAGACACCGCATTGACGTCCGCGCGGGATGTGCGCCGCATCCCATTCCCGCCACGCATTTCGCATCGTCGACGACAAGACTGGCCATATTGAAAGGAACAACGGACACGTTCCGCCCTCCCTCAACATAAGAAGCAATGCTGGCGCAACTGGGTGATGGCGCGTAGTGGTAGTAGTGGTAGTAGTAGTAGTAGTAGTAGTAGTAGTAGTAGTAGTAGTAGTAGTAGTAGTAGTAGTAGTAGTAGTAGTAGTAGTAGTAGTAGTAGTAGTAGTAGTAGTAGTAGTAGTAGTAGTAGTAGTAGTAGTAGTAGTAGTAGTAGTAGTAGTAGTAGTAGTAGTAGTAGTAGTAGTAGTAGTAGTAGTAGTAGTAGTAGTAGTAGTAGTAGTAGTAGTAGTAGTAGTAGTAGTAGTAGTAGTAGTAGTAGTAGTCGTAGTCGTAGTAGTAGTAGTAGTAGTAGTAGTAGTCGTCGTAGTAGTAGTAGTAGTAGTAGTAGTAGTAGTAGTAGTAGTAGTAGTAGTGTAGTAGTAGTAGTAGTAGTAGTAGTAGTAGTAGTAGTAGTAGTAGTAGTAGTAGTAGTAGTAGTAGTAGTAGTAGTAGTAGTAGCAGTAGTAGCAGTAGTAGCCCTGAGTCGCCGAAAGATCGCTCCAAGACGCCCAAGATGGCCTCCAGACGGCCGTAGCGCCAAGAAACCGCGGGGAGCATCAGGAGGCCCTCCAAGAGCCTGAACAAGCAAAAACTTCCCAGGCATTCATCACCCCAGGGCCTCCTGGAACGCCCCGGCGCCCAATGAATTGGCGAGCTAAAAACGTGCGCCGAGCCAAAGCGGGAGCGCAACTTTGAGAAAATTTCGCTCGGCGCCCAAGCGAGAAGGTCATGTCATTCATGTCGAGCGGGGGGGGAGGTGTGCCGCGCCCAACTCTTGCCATGCATTTTTGCGGGGTGGACGACCAGAACAGCTATGTGGTCAGGGAAAATCAGCATGGCATTGTTTCTGACAAGTAAGGTGGCCCCTCCCGCTTTGGGGTTACCCCAGAAGTCCGTGCGCGATGTGCGCCGCGCCCCATTCCTGCCACGCATTTCGCATCGTCGACGACAAGACAGGCCATGATGAAAGGAAAAACGGCAACTTTGTATTGGTTTTAACAGTCAGGATGGGAGGGCCCGCGGCCCGCATGGACGTCCGCGCGCGATGTGCGCCGCGTCCCGTTCCTGCCACATATTTCGCACCGTCGGCGACAAGGCAGGCAATGCTGAGAGGAAGAAACGGAGACTTTGTATTGATTCCCAACCATCATGTGGTGTTGGGTTCTCGTTTTAAAGAAACGGTCCCCGCGTTCTCCCCTCCTCCTCCTCCCCCTCCCCCTCCCTCCTCCCCCTCTTCCCTGCTCTTCACCCACCCAGTACAGCGTTTCGTAGTTCCATAGGGAGCTCTACCGAAGGCCCCAATGCTGCCGCCCGCATGCGTCCCGCACACCCAATTCGGCACACCCCTCACATGCTTCGTGGCCCCATCGGGCGCTCCACCGAAGGCCCCAGTGCCGCCGCCCGCATGCGCCCCGCACGCCCATTTCGGCACACCCCTCATTCGCTTCGTGGCCCCATAGGGAACTCCACCCAAGGCCCCAGTGCTGCCGCCCGCATGCGTCCCGCACACCCATTTCGGCACACCCCTCACACGCTTCGTGGCCCCATCTGGGAGCTCCACCGAAGCCTCCAGTGCCGCCGCCCGCATGCGTCCCGCACACCCATTTCGGCACACCCCTCACACGCTTCGTGGCCCCATAGGGAGCTCCACCGAAGGCCTCCAGTGCCGCCGCCCGCACGCGTCCCGCACACCATTTTCGCACACCCCTCACACGCTTCGTGGCCCCATAGGGAGCTCCACCGAAGGCCCCAGTGCTGCCGCCCGCATGCGTCCCGCACACCCATTTCGGCACACCCCTCACACGTTTCGTGGCCCCATAGGGAGCTCCACCGAAGGCCCCAGTGCTGCCGCCCGCATGCGTCCCGCACACCCAATTCGGCACACCCCTCACACGTTTCGTGGCCCCATAGGGAGCTCCACCGAAGGCCCCAGTGCTGCCGCCGCATGCGTCCCGCACACCCATTTCGGCACACCCCTCACACGCTTCGTGGCCCCATAGGGAGCTCCACCGAAGGCCCCATGGCTGCCGTCCGCATGCGTCCCGCACACCCAATTCGGCACACCCCTCACACGTTTCGTGGCCCCATAGGGAGCTCCACCGAAGGCCCCAGATGCGGCAGGCACACCCCTCACACGTTCGTGGCCCCATAGGGAGCTCCACGAAGGCCCCAGTGCTGCCGCCCGCATGCGTCCCGCACACCAATTCGGCACACCCCTCACACGTTCGTGGCCCCATAGGGAGCTCCACCGAAGGCCCCAGTGCTGCCGCCCGCATGCCCGCACACCCAATTCGGCACACCCTCACACGTTTCGTGGCCCCACAGGGAGCTCCACCGAAGGCCCCAGTGCCGCCGCCCGCATGCGTCACGCACATCCAATTCAGCACACCTCTCACACGTTTCGTGGCACCATAGGGAGCTCCACCGAAGGCCCCAGTGCTGCCGCCCCGCATGCGTCACGCACACCCAATCCGGCACACCCCTCACA